AAATGTTCTTTTGATGATGAATGTGATGTCATTCCTCTACAATCTGTTGTTTCCAGAATAGTCAACCATGTGATTGTTAGATTCAAAATTCCACTTTCTCATGAACTTTTTGAAGTCCCCGCTTGTGGGGATAAATACCTGATTGGTGTGACATGTGCTTGTCTACTTGACTCTAGGAGCCCAGTGCTCAGAGTGGGCAAGACAAAGTAACCTGCGGCCCTTAAAAATGCTGCCTTAGCCAGACTTACCGTAGCCTGAGTGCTGCATGTTACATAAGCAAAGTCTGCAAAGGTCCATCCCTAACAACTCCAAAGTTCAAAGGGGAAAATCAGGCTTTATTGGAGAGAAAGTATATGACCATGTTGCAAAGTCTACTGAACCTCTTAAGAAGTCAGAGCAACAGAAAAAATACACAGCATGCCTAAAAAAAGAGCAATCTGAGATAAGAAGCCACTAGGTGTTTCATCCAGTCTTTAGAGACCATGAGTTCAGCTGGAATCTTATTCCGGGATTTCGCAAGACCTTTTCAGTTGCAAGTAGTTGAACCCAGTTCAAAGGAGCTGAATCAACACAATCACTCAACAATGCTTTGGTGGCACATTGTTCAAAAAATCAAAGTAAGTGGTAAAAATGTTGGGTAAAATCATTATTTGCAGGTAATATTGTATACCTAGAAAATCTGGAAAACTAATAGGGGAAATTAGTGATGTGTCCAGGTATAGGATGGTTGTGCAAAATCGAAAGCTGTCCTCTAATTATTAATAAAACCAAACATGTGGCCATCGAGACAATTCTCACTCGTGGCAACCTTGTATGTTACAGAGTAGAACTGCTCCACAGGACTTTCTTGGCTATAATCTTTACGGAAGTGGATCATCAGGCCTTTCTTCCACAGCTCTGCAGGGGTTTATTCAAACATCCAACATTCAGGTGACCAGTAAAGCACAAATTAAGCTTAAAATTAAGAAAGGTGTACAACAGGATTGTATTCTTTCACCATACTTATTCAATCTGTATGCTGAGCAAATAATCCAAGAAGCTGAGTTATATGAAGAAAAATATGGCATCATTAACAACCTGCGATATACAGATGATACAACCTTGCTTGCTAAAAGTGAAGATGAAGATCA